AGCCGGTGAGATTTGAACAGCCGAACTGCAGAACTGCAGTCAGCTGAAGTAGCCTGCAGTGCTGCATTTAACCACTGCGCCACCTCGGCTCTTGAGTTGATAAGCTTTATTTTCATTATGTGACCTGGTCATACCGAACGCCTGCCAAGTCAGAAATACTTCTGTAACTAGTGCCATATTCCTTTACTTTTTAGATACCAAATCATGAACTGGTGTGGGCCAAAATGAAAGGCTTTGGATTCTGGCCTGCAAAAGTCATGCAGAAAGAAGACAATCAAGTTGATGTTCGCTTTTTTGGCCATCACCACCAAAGGTATTTTCCTTCTTGCAGTGTCTCTTGTATACTGAGACAACCAGCACACCCCTGGGTGTGGTTAATGGTGTGGATTCAACCCAGACTGATGCAGGTTCAAATTCACTTGAACTTTGACCCATTCTTTCTCAGGCCAATCAACCACACTGGATTGCCTTTGCAAGATGAAATTGGAGGTGGAGATGTTGTGGAGCTTCAACTGGAGGAAAAAGATCTAACAAATAAACAACAGTGCGCTTCTCTTTCTAGGTGTGGTGAAATGTCTGGATTCCTAGGAGGGAGAGGCTGCATTCCTGGGGACTAAAAGGCAGCAGAACTTAAAACAGTTTGGTTGAGGGAAAGAGATTTAAGATAGCTCCTCCCTAGAGATTTTTCAGATTATATCTCTACTGATGGAAATGGTTGCTTTAGTTTGGCAAGATTTCTGTCTAAGGGTGAAGGACAACCAAGGACACTGCTTGAAGGTCACTCTGTGTCTTTCTTGATTTTTGGGGGCGCCTGATACTAAGGCTCAGTAAAATTGTACTGTTCTCTTAACCACAGTAGCCAACTGGGACCAGTCACTTTCAGGCGCCCTAGTCCATCTCATAAAGTGGTTTTGTTAGGAGAAACAGGAGTAGGGAATCATTGCATATCTCATCTTGAGTGGAACAAAGTAAAGTGAGACATAAATCCATTCAATAACTGCATGTTTTGTCTTCCTGACATTTGTGACATTAGACAATCTGAATCCTAAACAACCTGCCAAAGAATTTGTTTCCTTAAAATTGAAACAAGAATGCAGAGAGTGGTCAGCTTTACAACTGTTTATTTAATGGCTGTTCAAAGGTACAACGGCACTGAAACAAGTGACTTATAACTAGTTCTCACGCATAAGACCGTTGTAACATCCTCACAGTCATATGTTCAAATTTTAGGACCTTTGCTAATGGCATGTACATATTTTCAGTGGTTGCAGGGTCCAGAGTCCAGGAGTTGCAACATTTCCAGGGGGCTTCTGACAAGTAGCCAATGGGGAAAGCCAGGTCCATTTAACAGCTACTTGATTCACATAACAACTGTAGTGATTTGCTTAGCAACATGGTCAAAAAGTGAATGGTGCCCCATTTGCAAAGTTGTTGAGAGTTACCTGTAGCCTTTCATATAATTCAGATTCATTTTTTTCCTATACCACAAGCTGTGATGTCATTGTGGAGCACCTAGATACTAATAAAGTTAAACATACTGAGAAGCTGTAATTGCACATAGAAATAACTGTTGTAGTTTGGACTAGGAGAGAATGAAAATTGAAACAGAATTAAAATTAACATTGGGGGTATGTGAAGAGTACGGCAGGGCGGGGGAGACTCAATGTTGTATCTATGACCTCACCATCAAAAACCCAATGGAGAAGACTTTTCATCATTTAGGTAAGATTTGCGCTCTTAGAGTTGAATGGATGTTTGGCGTAGAAAAGGACGATTTGAAAACTGAATTGGCAGCCACCTTCAAAGGATGTGCTTAAGTGTATCTTTTCATTTTCATTGTCGAGGGCCTGGATTCCTTCAGAAAATATTCAGGATATCACCGTTAATATACACCGGCTACACGTAAAACGTAGCATGGGCTGGAAAAAAGCATGCGATGAGTTAGAGCTGCATCAGCGTTTCCTTCGGGATGGCAGATTTTGGAAATCCAAAAATGAGGATAAAGGAGAGGAAGAGGCAGAATCAAGCATTTCTTCCACCAGTAACGAGCAAGTGAGTAGATGAGTTGCATTACCCCAGTTTATGTAGCCCAGTTGCAGTTGATTGTTGAAGTTTGGCTATTTCTTTAATCTGCTTTTTTCTTACCGCAGATCTGAAAATCCATATATCATATGGAAAACTGCACCAGATTCCGGATCTAATGTAGTCTGTCTTTACCCTGCTTTTAATCACTGTATTTCATCAAAAGATTTGCAATAAAAGCAATTCTTTCCTCTTTGGAGTAATTCTAGAATTGGCATCATTGTATGTACCTGAAGTACAAATTATAAGTCTCTTCTGGAAGCTGTTCCTTGCTTATTTTTAAATGAATAAGTTTATAGAGTGATTCACATTGGTTTCAAATCCCAGAACAGTTGTGGAGTTTAGATTTTGTTTGCATTGTTGTTTTAGGTGGATGAAACTATTAGCCTTCTTTGTGGGGTTTTGTATCTCTGCCTGCTTTTTCCCAACTTCGTTACATAAACAAGTTAGAGCGTGCCTCTGTTCTGTTTCTCAGATACAAAAAAAAATTCCAAGCTGTCTTGGTAATGGACTTTTTTCATGCACTCTAAAAACTTATGGGCATAGCAATTAAGAGGGTGAGGCACCTTGGTATCTAGCTATATTAACTTGGGAGCTGGGATTTTACCAAATTTTGCAATTCAATTCATGGCCAAAGATAGTTGACAATGATAACCAAAACTGTAACAAAAGAGGCTGGCTTCTTACAGACAATTCTAAATGAGTATTGTTTATTTATTTATTTATTGTTTCTTAATCCTAGCTAAAAGTTACTCAGGAGCCAAGAGCAAAGAAAGGAAGACGCAATCAAAGTGTGGAACCTAAAAAGGAAGTAAGGAACAGCATGGCAATTAAATACATGCACTTGTGGGTGAGGGAGAAAACATTATTCAAGCATTTTTCTTCTGACTGTTTACAAATTCATTTTTCTTCGTGTTTTATAACTCGGAAAAGTGATGATCGTTTCTTAAAAGAGCATGTTTTAACCTGTTTTTAATTTTCTTCATTTGGAAGTATTTCTTCTATTTCATTTTTTTTTTTTAAATAGTAGCTGTATATACTCCAAATAAGATCGTTCTTATAATTTCAAATAGTGATTTGGAATTGATTCCAACCTATCCATCCTTAATAGAGATAGAATCTGAAGCTATAAGCTTTCATGCTGGATCACTTCTGCCGATCTATAATTTAGCTTTGCCAATGTTAGAGCCTGCATAGATGAGCTAATGTTTTAAATCAGTTAGAATCCTTGTTGGAACCAGTTTGCAAAAAGAAGGGGGGGGGGAATGGGCGATGTATGCATTAAGAATACATGTATTTGTTAGTTGCAAAGTCTTGTCCGACACATTGTGACCCCATGGACAATGTTCCTCCAGGCCTTCCTATCCTTTGGGTACTGTCCATGGGGTTTTCATGGCAAAGACACTGGAGTTGGTTGACATTTCCTTCTCCAGTGGATCACGTTTTGTCAGAACTCTCTGCTATAACCTGTCCGTGGCCCGGCATGGCATAGCTCATAGCTTCATTGAGTTACACAAACCCCTTCACCACAACAAGGCAGTAATCAGTTAAGAATATATATATGTACCCCTTCAATTTCTGAGTATCTTCAGAGTTGCCTAAATTCCTATTCCGTATGGTTATAATACTAGTTTAGAGGCACGGTGGCTCAGTGGCTTAATGACGCCGGAAATAGTCTCGCTCCGGCGGTTCGAGCCCTAGCATTGCAAAGCAGAGTAAGTTCCTGTCATTTTGCCTCAGCTTCTGTCCACCTAACAGTTTGAAAGCATGTAAGTAAATTGGTAGGTAATTTCGTTAGAGAGATGAGCTGGCACTCTTTGCAGGTAGTCAGATTCCTGACGCCTCTAAACCTTCCCGGTTGCCTGTTTGCGAGGCAGCTCTTGGAAGGAAAGGGGCCTTGGGTGACGCTGCAGAAAGACCTACTTGTCTTTCTCTCTGGTGTGAAGCCAGCTCACCCTTCTGGGGCACACCTTGGAAAATGCACAAGCGTGTCCTGTAACAGAGCAGATACTTTGGCAATTCAAATTACTATTCTGCCATAGCATTGTAGTCTCTTAGCTATTGTAGCAATGTCATAGAGTAATAGGAATAACAGTTAATGGAGATATGCAAAACTTAGTAATTTGGAAACCAGTAATAACATTTTATAATGATGAATCCTTGGTGCTGTCTGAGCTTGCTTGTTTTCTTGCAGATGTTTCATTACTCTAAATAGGTAACATCATCAGTCACAGATGATGTTACCTAGCTTGGGCAATGGAATGTCTGCAAGAAAACAAGCAAGCTCAGACAGCACCAAAGGATCCCTCATTTCAACCCTGAGCTACAAATGTTCTCCTTTGATATTTTATAATGCATATGTGGGCTCCTTGGTGCGTTCTGGGTTTTTCCTTTCAGACATTTCATTACCCAACTAGGTAACCTCATCACTGCTGCCTTGATGGTTTATCCTCAGGGTGCCGTCGGCCAGACAGTGTCAGCTAGCGACCCCCANCCTATGAAGCGGTATATAAGTCTACTGCTATTGCTATTGCTATTGCTGCTCTATGCTGCACCTGAAGGCACGAAAAAGAACACAAAAGGAGGAACCTGGGGTGGAGGGGAGGCACCACATGCAGCTACAGGGCACATCCCATTGCGGAGCTTGCCATACCTGGGGGTGGAGGTGATGCATGGAGATGCATGGAGGGGTCTGTCTTTCTGGTGGACGGCTCCCCGGTGCCCACACCAGTCGAGCCTCAGTTTTTTACAGGCAGTGGCACAATCCACAGCAGCGGCATGCTCAGGAGCAGCCCCTTGTCAGCTGAGGAATCTGAACGTGGCCAGGGGGCGGGCTATGCCGGCAAGCAAAATGAGAGCCTGCAGATGCCGACAGCACTTCTCTACCAAGAAACACTTCTTGAGAAGCACTTCTCTACTGGTGGGGTAGGGAGTTTTGACATCTGGGCTCTGTGATTTTCTAAGGCCTCCGCCGTGCCTGTTTTGGGGTGTTGCAGCTGGTACCTCCTCCCCTCCCTTGTCCCAAGCCAGAATTGGTTGAACTTTCCTCCCTCCCTCCCGCCCTGCTTGCACAGTCCAGCGCCTCCACCTGCATCTTTTCCTATCTCCCACCCTTACTTTTCCTTTGTTCTCCCCCTCCTCACCCGCTGGGTTTATAAACACAGGCCTGGCCTCTGGGCTGCAAAGTTGAATGCTTCAATTTCTTCTAGGAAATGTAATGGCTTTTCCACACCCCAAATCCTCCAATGGTCTATTTTTGGGAGTTTTCCCCCTCCTCCCTTTCCCTCCGTTGGAGTCTTGGTGGGGGGGTTATCATATGACTATATGCGTGAGTGATGTCAAGTTGGCCACGCCCACTCAGTCACATGTCCCTCCACCTAGCTACACCCACAGAACTGGTAGTAAATTTTTTTGAAACCCACCCCCATAGTAGGGCAAAAAAAAAGAGGTAGTTCTCTATTCATAGATTCTGAGTGTTTCTTTTATCATCATTCCTCTTGTATATTTGTGAGTGGCTTTGGATTGTTATTGCTGTAAGGACCATGTGCTGAATTTCTCACGATCCATGAACATCATCCCATAATAGTAAAAACAAAAACAGTCAGAATCATTAGGAAGAATTACAGCAGAGTATAAAACAATGAGGAAAAATGCTAGCAGATATTTTTTCCTAACTATACTTGGCCCTTGCTTGATAAGAGGCAAAGATTAAAATCAAAAGGAATTAATTCCTATAATTGCTTGCATCATATATTTTTGTGAACCTGTTTACCAAAGGGCCACTGACATTTTCAATTTTAAGAAGGTCATTTAAATTTCTGCCATATTATGGTAAAATTTTTAATGATAACAGTCGGTAAAGTTGGAACTCACAATTCTTATGGTTCCATATTTTGAAGTTTGCAGTCTCAAAAAAATTGTGATAATGATGTTGTTCTTCAAATGCAAGCATTTAAATGTAATAGCTAAAACTTTTTGCTTATTATGAAAACAAGAAAATTTTATTAAATTCCAAATGTATTATGCAATCCAGTGCAGATTGAAAGTGAAATAATCTTGCAATATTTCTTGTTTTTATTTATCTACTGAATTTATAAGTATTAATTTTCCAGGAAAATAATAGTAATAGTAATAATAGTAATGCTACTTATTCTTTTTTTCTGTGGTGAATTATTGGTACCTTACAATTTTTGCACTAGAGCAATAGTTTTCCCCCTGGATGAAGTAGATTTCATTAGATAATGCAACAAAAATTAGTTATAGAACCATAAAGAATATTCTTGCTCATAGCTTTAAATTCATCTACATATAGCTATTAAAAATGTGAGGTTCAAATTTAGGAGATTAGCTGCATTCTAAAAAAAAGTTTGAAATATACGTTGAACAATTTCCTGTTTACTATTGTGCATTAATTAATCCAATCTCTGTAATATATTATTCCCAATCTAATCCTACTTTGGATCGATACCTTCTTCCATGTTTATGCTGGCTTTAAGAAGACTAGTTGCTATGTAATTTCCCAGGCAATTTGCATGCAGAGAATCCCACTTTAACAGCGATTAGAAAAGATCGATTAAAAATGTACAGGATAGTTTTTAGGTTTCAAAGACCCCTTCTGGTGTGATTTTTTTTTATTCCTATAGTTCGATCTTGTAGAACATTGCTTTCTGTGTCCTAAGTGCAAGAAGAATCACAAAGCTTTAAGCTTTTGAAGAAAAGCTGAGCTATTTAGATTTCAGAATCTGGATTAGATTCTGTGAAGTATTGTGACTGTTACTAAATAAGTCATTTTAACTGGTCGGGCACAGATAGAAAAGCTATACATGCAGCTTTATCCATTCCCTCCATGGCTATGTAATCTTCAAGCCATTCTTAATTGGGTTTTTCTTGGCCAGACAAGGGATTTTCCCTCCCTGCATGCAGTGGGGCATTAAGGTTATGGCATCTAGCCAGCCAAGGCAGCTTAAGCCACCTGTATATATATATATATATACATACAAACATAAATCCATAAGTACAATTTGCAGATTTGCATTTTTTAAATATTAGGATATTGGTGAACTAGCATCACATATAGCCTTAAACACCTCTGTAAAAGAAACTCCACACAGAATAATTTCTTTTTTCTGCCACATGTCTCATTTGTGGGAATGATGTTCCTTTTTTGAAAACCGTAACTGATTAGCTGCTTGGTGATGAGATGACTTTCCTTACACCCAGGGTGGATTTGATTTAAATCATGATTTAAATCACTAGTAAAAAGGCTTGATTTTAAATCAATTTGATTTAAATCGTAATTTTTAAAGAGCAACTGTCATTTCTGTCTCCTCTAACTTGCTGTTGATTCACCGACAGTCCCAATATTGCAAAATATATAGCCTCATGCTATATAACTAAGCTCCATTTCACGCTGAATAAGCTAAATTATTAACGTATCTTAAAGAAAAAACTGTGTTTAGATATATTTTTTACTCCAAAAGCATTTTATTAAAATAAATTTGATTAAAAGCAAAATAAATCTGATTTAAATTTTAAAAACTCCATTTTTTTAAAATCAATTTTTACCCACCTTACTTACACCACACTCCAGTCCCAATTTTATGTGGGATATAATAGAATGTAGATTCAAATCCTCACTTAGATTCAAATTCCCATTTAGCCACTATATTGCTCAACTGGTCTAAAACATTTATATATATTTACCTAATGTTCATATCTCACTTAATAGCTGCTTTCCTGCTCACTCCTTCCACAGATTACCCCTTCCCCTACCATCATCCTTGGACACAGAGATATACAATATTGTCCCAAAACTGGCAACCAGATACCACAATGCTTGTCCAGATCAATGCAGAAGGGCCAGAAGAGTGTTGGAATGTCACCCAAGAATGTTCAGTTTGAGCTAACTTGGCTGTGGAGTATACAAGTGTGAATTAGAAAAAAAAATAGTGTTTATTTCTCAATTGCAGATTAATTTACCCATCCCATACATCATTGCCCAGATGGGAATCCTATAGGTGTGTCAATTTAATGGACTTTCCACCTGGTAACTTTTGGGCTTTGTTGACGCTTGAGGAAGAGACAAGTCATCTCCACCAACATCATCCCAGCCAGAATATTCTCTGAGCAGGAATTTCATGTCATTGTGCTTTGACTATTCATCCTTCACTGGCTGCAAGAATAAGCTGCTTGCTTGGGCTGTGTTTTAATGACGTTGCACTGTAAAATCTGTCATGTTTCCCAAAAGTCAAAGAGTTCTAAAATAAACCTGTTGATTCCTTCCCCTCCCTCTCTCAGAGCATTAAGAAAAAGAACACCAGTAAGCAAGAGATGAGCACCTATTTGCGCTTCATTGTCTCCCGGATGAAGGAACGGGTGAGTGTTATACATTCTTGATGAATGTATCTTTGCCTTTTTATGTACACTGAAAGCATCTGCACCAAAGACAAATTCCTTGTGTGTCCAATCACACTTGGCCAATAAAGAATTCTATTCTATTCCATTCTATTCTATTCCATTCAGTTGTGTGTAGGAGTCTAAGCAGATGGTTTTGTGTGTGTGTTTTGCTTTGCAACTTCAAATAGTTATAGGTAGTCCTCAATTTAACAATTGATTGCTACCATTTGAAGTTATAATGGACCTACCTACAGGCTGCTTATGATCTGGATTTGAAGTTCTGACAGTCAAGTTTTCCACCTAGTCAGATGACTAAACTTTGGGTGTTTAGTAACATGAGCGTATTTACAACCATTTGCAGTGTCCTGGGATTACACAACTGTGTTTTAACAACAGTTTTGATGAAAACTGGCATTTCTGATTTTTAGCTAAACCACATCATAGTGAACAATGGGTTTGCTTAATGACTAAGAGCCGAGGTGGCGCAGTGGTTAGAGTGCAGTACTGCAACCACTTCAGCTGACTGCTATCTGCAGTTCGGCGGTTCAAATCTCACCGGCTCAAGGTTGACTCAGCCTTCCATTCTTCCGAGGTGGGTGAAATGAGGNAATCCAATAAACCTTTAAATCTATCTAGTCGGGGAATGAAACACCTGCAAGAAATCAACCAAGCTCAGAGAGCATCAAGAATCCCCCAGTTCAACTCTAAGCTGCAACTGTTTTCTTCTATAGATATTGTAATGCATGTGATTTCCCCCCCCCCCCATTGTATGAAATAATGGTGGAGTCATTGGCATGATAATGTTTTAATTGTACAATGTAGCATTGCATTTTTGTCTTTAAAGAACACCCCAATTAATTTTTACCTAAGTAATATTTATAATTATGTGGATTAATATACATTTTTCAGTCTTTATCTCTCTGATCTAAATGGTTGTAGTCCTTCTCATTGGCCATGTTAGTGACACCTCCTTTGTTATGTTAGGAGCCGGAGCCTGAAACAGAAGCAGTCAGTTCAAGTCAGGAAATTCCCACAATGCCTCAACCCATTGAAAAAATTTCAGTCTCGACCCAGACTAAGAAATTAAGTGCCTCTTCCCCTAAAATGCTGCACCGGAGCACCCAGACAAATAACGATGGTGTGTGTCAAAACATGTGCCATGAGAAATACACCAAAATCTTCAGCGACTTCAAGGATAGAATCAAGTCTGATCACAAGAGAGAAACTGAGAGAGTTGTGCGAGAAGCTATTGAGAAGGTAATTAACTAGTTTGATGGCATCTTGAGAATATTCTAATTAATTCTAATTATTCATTGTTGCTGAAATTTATTTCTATATATACCTCTTTTCAATCGTTCGGGACTGGAAGGCGGCTCCTTTTCTGTACGAAGATGATAATCCCCTGGCTGATCACTGTGCAATTAAACTCTTCTAAAATTGACCATTTTAGTCAAGAAGTCTGTGGTGTCTTCATGGCAACAGTGGGAGAATGACGCAAATTTCATTCTTCTTGCATGTTGCGTTGTGATGCAGAATGGCCCAAGTGGATGTGATTTGTGCAAAGACGTCTTGATGTCCCCATCACTTTGTCGTCATTGGGGAATTCTATTGGGTGCCTAGGTCTTCATGGATGGTCTCCAGTAAAGGAAAAGTACAGGAATCTTCATGGAAGATCTGAGCTGAATTTGCTCTTAATTCAAACCATTCTGTGGTCTATGTTCTGCTTAATGCAGTGGCGTCAAACTCGCGACCCACAGGCCAGATGTGTCACTCTCTGGCCGCACCCACCCCTGATTTAGCAAAGGGGGGAAAAGTCACAATATGTCACGGGACGATGACATGACGACACAAGTTTGACACCCTGGCTTAATGTGTCCCATATTGCTTAGTTTTGGCAGCAATAATTTAATATGGGATTGGTGAGTGGGTTCAAACATCCTATTGAATGCAAAGCAAACAAATCAAACTCTGGTTTAATTTGTATGTACTTTACATAGTTGCCAAACTTGAACAGTAAAATTCTGGGAAGGTGGCAAGCATGCTGGAAGTCTAGCATTTTTTTTCCCTGTGGATAACTGAACACTCCGGGTGGATGTGCTTTTTACCCCACTGTCACCAGTGGTGGTTCCTTCTTTTTCAGTTGGAGCCCTGCAATTATTTGAAGATGAATGCTAGTAGTCCTTCTTCCACCTAGATGAATCTAAGCCAGGGGTGAAGTGTACTTAACTTTGCTACCTGTTCGCAAATGTGAGCCTGCACTCTTCCTCCGCTCGCATACTCCCATCTCCGTGCATGCGCAGGACCTTCCGCGCATACGCAGAGAGTCAAAAACGGACGTGATAACATCCTAGTGGGTGGGCAGAGCCTGCTACGAAAAAGGTAAGTAGAACAGCGAGGGGAGGGATCAGCTGTGCAACACGGTTTAGATGAGCTAGAAAGCCGGAAATCCTGCTTTCTAGTTTATATAAATCATGCGTCACAGCCGATTGTCGGAAATACCGGGTCGCCCGAACTGATAGCACTTTTTTTACTACCGGTTCTATTTGGTTGAACCGGTCCAAACTGGTAGCATTTCACGCCTGGCCTAGGCCCCTTAGGGATCAAGGGAGCTGCTTCCCTTAAGAGCAACTGAGTACAAGTACAGATAGTCCTTATGACCACAATTGAATCCAAAATTTCCACTGCTTATTAAGAAGGTTGTTAAATGAGTTTTGTCCATTTTATGTCCTTTCTTGCCATGGTTGTTAAGTGAATCACTGCAGTTGTTAAATTAGTAACCCGATTGTAAAGTGAATCTGACTTCCCGGTTGACTCTGCGTGTCAGAAGGTCGCAAAAGCTGATCACATGATCCCAGGACACTGCTACCGTCATAAGCATGAATCAGTTGCCAAGCGCCTGAACTTTGAACACGTGTACCGTGGGGATGCTGCAGCTGTCGTAAGTGTGAAAACAAAAAAAACGGTCAGAAGTCACTTTTTTTCCCCCCCAGTGTCATTGTAACTTTGAAGGATCGCTAAACGAATCATTGTTAACTCGAGATTTCCTGTAATGCTGTGTAAGTTGCTTTTGGGAGGAAGAAAGAGTTGGAAGCACCACCTCTGGCCTTTCACTCACCTGCTTTTTAACATTCCAGCTGCGTTCAGAGATGGAGGAGGAGAAAAGGCAGGCTGTGAACAAAGCCATTGCAAATATGCAGACTGAGTGTGACCGAAAGACAAAGCAGGTAAAGGAGAAATGCAAGGAGGAATTTGTAGAAGAAGTTAAGAAGTTAGCCAGCCAGCACAAACAGCTGATCTCTCAGACCAAGAAGAAACAGTGGGTAAGCAGCACTACTGGCGCATTGGCGCCTCGGGCCATTATCTTCTGTATTCCTATCTGTGTTGGCGAATAAGAACACTTTGGGATAACGAGAACATTTTGGGGACCCATTCTTTGGAGAGACGAAAGTTTCCTTTCCTTCCATACTTCTGCTGTCTCTGCGATCTTAGCTTCCCATTTGTTGATTTATCTGATGAATTTACTTATGAATTTACTTAAGCTTTTACCATGAGCTCCAGCAGGCACCCCTAGCACGTCTCCTGACTTTTCCTACCACAGAAGTCCTGTGAAGTTGTGTTGGGCAGAAGGTTCTCCAGGCTGAATGGGAATTTGGAGCCTGATTTGTTCAACCGCTCAGGAGTACAGTTAGCTTTGTATTTGCCTCTCCTTCGTCCTAGTGAATGTTGTAGTGCATAGTACAAGTGTCGGTGACCATGCGGGGAAATCCCAGCTCCCTTGTGGCACGCGTTGGGCTTTCGATTGCAAGCTCACATTTGCCATTCTGGGCTTTGTGGACAACCCTGTGCACAACCATTTTATAATTGTCTGCTGCCTCTTTTCACTTTGGATCTGGTTTAATTAAGTGAAAGAGAGTCCCTCTGCATTGAAGTTGTTTGAGGAGGTAAGAAGACCTCCGCTCTATGCTGTCTATCTCTCTGGTTTTAGTTTTTATAGAACTCTTCCTAACTTTAATTGTTCTTATAGTTAATTTTTTGCCATTTGTAAGCTGCCCACACTTGCCTTGTTGGTGACATGGACAGCCTATACATTTAATTAATAAATAGTTCCTCACTGTTAAGTATACCAGTTTTAAGTCCATACTGGCCATTTTGGGATGGAAGTAAAAGAAGCCCACATATACCTGGACATTGCCAAGTTAGGACTTATTGTCCTCAACCATTAAGGTGATGCTGGCACATTTGTTGGTTTTAGGTCTCTAAACCAGCATTTAAAATCATGGTTTGGTTGTTGGTTGGCTGATTCCTCCACTCAATTAACAAATGGGGCTTAATGCAGGAGTGTGTTGTGCAAAGAGCGGCATGGTGGCCTAGTGGCGAAAATATTTGCCTGTCACACAGAAGGTTGAGGGTTGAATTCTAGGAAGTGTCTGTTTCTCTCTTCGGGTGCAAAGAAAGAAATATCTGCTGCGAACTCCATGTAGGCATCAGGAAAGGCATCCGGCCAATAAATGCTAAGCTCTATCCAGTTGCCCCAACTACAGGGTTGTGAAAAGGGAGTTTTCTGTTGCATAAATCCAGTGCCACCAAATGGAATGTGGTTATTTTAGATTTGCAGCAACTTGCAAGAAACTGTTCCTACAGAGAGAATAAAGGAGGATTTAGGAGAATTTAGTAGGGAGAAAGAGAGGTTCTATTTCATAATGATTTTTCCTCTGTCCCCTCCTCAGTGCTACAACTGTGAAGAAGAAGCTATGTATCATTGCTGTTGGAACACTTCCTATTGCTCCATCAAGTGTCAGCAGGAACATTGGCATGCTGAGCACAAACGTACCTGTCGTCGGAAAAGATGAAAGCTTCCTCACCTCACCTGTTGCCCTGATTCAGTGCTTTTCTCTTAACACAGCAGGTGCTGGGTATCGTCTCTAGATTTTCATGTTGGTTTCCAAGAGGTCAGAATTAATGTGAATTCACTCCCCATTATGATTAATTCTTATTATTATTATTATTATTATTATTATTGCACCAGCCTTGAAAACACTTTTTAGTAACAAAAAAAATTTTTTTTTGCACAGTTAAATTTCAGTCAAATCTTTTGACTCTCTGCTTCCAACGGTCATCACCTTATGGCCCTCTTCCCCCTTTCTTTTTGCTGAAAAGGTAATTTGAACCTCAGTTGGAGCACATTACTTTTTGATAAATTTTAACTGAGGGGGTTTGTTGCATTTTCAGCAAATTATTTTTTAAAAAAAGGATTCAACAAAACAAGGAAAGGTGATAGGAACATTTTCAGGAGACCTGAATGTAATAATGAAATAGAAAAAAAACAAAACCTTACTACCTGGATATAAGAGACGTTAATAATTCCAAATGGTTTTCTTTAGCTTAATTTACTGCTTGAACGCATTATCTATTGGCTTAGGTATACATTTGAATTTTGGGATCAGGGTTGACACAGCAGATGCTAGTCCTGCCACTTTTTAATGTTCTTTTTCCTAATTGTGTTTGTTCTATTATTATTTTTCTTCATCATTTAGCTTTTATAATGAAAATATTAGCTTTGATCTTATTGTTTCAGAAATCACCAGGGACTTGGGTGGGGTAGTAGGCTGAGCCAGATTTTAGCGGGGAGGGGGGGGAGTAATATTTAAATTTTAAATTTTTGCACATTTCATCCTTCTAATACGAATACTTGTAAAAAGAAAGCCAAAAACTGAAAGAAAGAAGAAAAAAACACCCCCACAAGAACAGATCAATTTTACATTTCGTCGTATATGGAGTTCAAAGGTTTGAGGCATGGAAAGAAAAGGCTTAATATTTGCCCTGCCCTTTTTAACCCCTTCCAGCCCTTTGTCCCCCATTTTTATCTTTCGAAACACTAGTTGATTATTAATCTGATTTATGCACTCAAATAAGAAATTAAGTCCGAGGGATGGGGAAGCACTTAAGTTTCACAAAAGCAGTTATGTCTGTAATATTTGGTTATTGCCATTTTTATGCTAGAATGAAGAATAATGCATGTTAATTTTCCTGTATTAAAGATGCTGTGATTTGTAAAAAGTTTGTCTTTTGCGGAATGTTTGGATAAAGAAGTGCTACCAATAGGAATGGATCGATAGTTGAAAAGTGTTTTTTTTCCTCCTTCTCTTCCCTCCCTTTTTTGTTTATTTTATGTATAGGTATATATATAAATTTATATATATATATAAATTGCATCCATGTTCAGAGACATTTTTTTTATGCAAGGTGTAAACTTTATTTAACCAGCTTATCTTCTAATGCTCTTGCCATTGTAGGGTTCTTTTCAAGATGGTCTTAAAATTCAACCCAATTCCCCCTGGACATTCTTTTTCCAAGTTCAAACAAAGTAAATTGTAAATATTTATGTAGACCTTGGATATTTATTGAAAGTGATAATACAATGAATCATACGAATGGGAGAAAAGGATTTTGGAAAGAAATTTCTCTGAAGTTTGCTAGGGTCAATCAGAAGATTAAATTCCTATTAAACTTTCTGTAATCTATTGCTATAGTCTAGAGCAGGGGTTAGTCAACCTTTTTATACCTACCGCCCACTTTTGTATCTCTGTTAGTAGTAAAATTTTCTAACCGCCCACCGGTTCCACAGTAATGATGATTCATAAAGTAGGGAAGTAACTTTACTTTATAAAATTTATAAAGCAGAGTTACAGCAAACCCCTACCGCCCACCATGAAAGCTGGAACGCCCACTAGTGGGTGGTAGGGACCAGGTTGACTACCACTGGTCTTAGAACAGTGTTTCTCAACACAGCAACTTTAAGATGGTGGACTTCCACTGTCTTAGGAATTGAGGGAGCTGAAGTCTTTCACCTTAATAATGTTCAAATTGAGAAGCATTGATATTGATCGTCAAGCGAATAATGGCAATTGAAGTAGAGTACCAGTTTTCATGAGGAACTTGGAAAATTCAGGCCACTTAGCCTGAGTTTAAAAGAGATAGAGTTAGTAAAATGAGGGCAGTATCTCTATGTTTGCCAAATTTCACGGCAAATTGCTTGGAATGCCTAGTTGCCCCATTTATCCTGGTGGACCTTCATTATTCCGTCACCCTGTAACCATTCTCTAAAATGGACGGGTCTGACAAAGAAGCACCCCATAGAAATGGAGCCTTGGTGCTCCCAAATAGAGGTTAGCTCATGCAAATACTAACTTTAGCTAAATGACTTTAAATTTTTTAACAATTAAGCAATTATATTATGACTATATATAGGAGGCCTTCACCCTAGAGCAAGTGCAACAAAGAAAACACCCTTTGATTATTTTATTATTGTTCCTCTTCACCTTACTTAAAATTAAGAAAACCTTCGGTCCAACCCTATAAAAGCAAGTTTTTGTGAAAACTATTTTTGGGGGGTATAAAATCATTCCGGGATATGTAATATTTAACTGAATAGCTGCATGAAAGTAAAATTTGTGTTTTTGTTTTTATTTTGGCTTTTTTTTTCTTTTTGTCTCTGTTGACACGGTTGCACATTTTCAAGTTATTACAGCGTGAAAACTGTGGTTTTGTTTTTTTTAAATCAACAAAAGAACAAGAAAAAAAATGTGGCCTGGTTTTGTATAAGTTTTAGGGGAAAGTATTGTTTAGAATTCCTGATTTCAAACATCTTTTTTTTTTCCTGCAAATCATAAATCTATATTAAAGTGTTGAGCTTAGCCACTATGCACATTGTAATTTACTCATTGTGGCTGTCCAGTCTATGACGCATTCTGGCATTTTGTAAGCTGCTCTGACTAGCAACATATAGAGTCATTAAATGTGTTAACATTGGTTAATAAATGTATTTGAAAAGGCAATAGCGCCTTCTAGTTTTTTGTCTTCGTTACGTTCGACCTTTCCTAAGTTAACGCAAATTACACACATTGTCATCAAAGATTTTTGTAGTATTGTTGTTGGCCTACTCTGGAAAAGGATGGCATCTGATAAATGTGACAGCTTGTTCAACATGGTGTCAATTGATTGGTTCAGCTGTTAGAACTTCCGGGAATCCTATCTAAGATATTAAATATAAAAATGGAGAGCGGAAAAAATAATACCACCCTTTAAAAGTGATGTTGAGGTAGAAGTTCCACTTAAAATGTTTTCTGCTAAGAAGGGCCTTGACAAACTAAGACACGAAGGCTTTCATTTTAGTTTCTTCTCCTATATTCATTCATGCTGTCATCAAAGAAGTTACCACAGGAAGGAATCATGTTTCTTCTTATCTCCTTGATCCAGCTACCTAAGGACATTACGTCTTCACCTGTTTATCAAAATGGACCATATATAGATCTTGCATCATCATAAGTTGGCTGGAATGGTAGAGATTAGAAAGTATTGGTGGCACCGGTTAGAATGCAGTACTGCAGGTTATTTCTGCTGACTGCCAGCTGACCACAATTTGGTAGATCGAATCTCACCAGGCTCAAGGTTGACTCAGCCTTCCATTCTTCTGAGGTGGGTAAAATGAAGACCCAGATTATGTGCTGACCAGTGGTGGGTTTCAAAAATTGTTCGAACCTACTCTGGGTGTGGCTTCCTTTGTGGGAGTGGCTTGCTACCCATGTGACTGGATGGGAGTGGCTTGCCACCCATGTGACCGGATATGAAGATGCCGACAACACTTGTCAGAACCACCTTAAATTACCTCACACACAGCACTGGCATGCATAAGAATATGATGTAAACTTGTTTTTTAAAAGGCATCTTTGGTTTGCGTTAAAACAACTTCAACACACGCAATGTTCTGATTGCACCACAAACGCAGTAGTCATCCTTACCTTTCACAGAGGCACTGAGTTTTATAAATATGAGCATGATAGTGTAGAATAATCATATCCAAGGACCAGTGTTGAGTTTCAAAAAATTTTGGAATCTCTTCTGTAGGTGTGGCCTGCTTTCCGGGTCCACTGGTGGAATCTCTTCTAACGGGTTCGGTAGATTTGACGAACCAGTTCTACCGAATAGGTGCGAACTGGTAGGAACCCACCTCTGGTGCTGACCCTGTAAACTGCTTAGAGAAGGCTGGAAAACACTGCAAAGCGGTATACAAGTCAGAGCCGAGGTGGCGCAGTGGTTAGGGTGCAGTACCTGCAGGCCACTTCAGCTGACTGTTATCTGCAGTTCAGCGGTTCTAATCTCACTGGCTCAAGGTTGACTCAGCGTTCCATCCTTCCGAGGTGGGTAAAATGAGGACCCAGACTGTGGGGGCGATATGCTGACTCTGTAAACCGCTTAGAGAGGGCTGAAAGCCCTATGAAGCAGTATATAAGTCTAATTGCTATTGCTAAGTGCTATTGCTATAGCACCACACGCTTCCATGTCCGGTTGAGTAGTTTGTTATTTCCAAACAGAGTCCAGAATAAATTGGATTGATCTTGATCTTCGCAGCCCTTGGGATTTTACTGATTTCTTTACAAGTACAAAATCTTCAAATTTCCACTTTGCTTTTTTTCCAAATAATTACGTGACAGTATCATTCCAACATACTTTCAGTAAGTCAGTGATACAGATAACACGTATATGAATGGTTCCAAATCAGATTATACATAATCCTTCACTCAACAACCATTTATTTAGTGACTATTTGATGTTACAATGGCACTGAAAAAAATGACTTACAACCATTTTTCAATTTATGCCATTGTAGCATCCCCATGGTTACATGATCAAAATTTGGAAACTTAGCAATTGACTTGTATTTATGATGGTTGCATTGCCTTAAAAAGGAGCCAGTGTCATAAGTACAAATCATGTGATCACCGTTTGTGAACTTCTGGCACAGCTGTTTGCAGCATTCTGCGGTCACACAACCGAGTTTTACGACAGCTTTGCCAAAACTGACAGCCGCTTTCAATTTTCAGCAAATCTGGGATCTCAGCAAACCATTGGTTCACCTTATCTGGTGACTGCTGCAAAAAATATAAGATCAGGTCAATTATGTCTATTTTACATTGTTGCAACAAGACTGTGATGGATGGGCTGCATTACAATCATTTTACAATAAGGATTACCTGCGTTCTATATAGAAAGGCCCATTTAAGCTTATAGTGGGCCAGATGTTATCCAAATGTATCAACTCAAGGGTGACTTTTGCTAACAGGGAAGCAAGGAATAAAAGGACCACACTCACTTCCATTTCCCGTGTAGAACTCCACATTTTATCCATATATACATGTAGGAATTGAAAGAGTATAGAGCTGTGATGGCGACCCTATGGCATGGGTGTTCGAAATGGCATGTGGAGCCATGTCACCTGGCACGTGTGGCGTTGCCCGGGTTTCTGGCGGGCACGCACATGTGACGATCAGCTGGCCTTTGTGCGTGTGGAAGTGCTGGAAACCGGAAGAGCTGGTCTTCCATTTTCCAGTGTGAGCATGTGCACTGGGCAGCTGATCAGTACGTACGCATGCGAAGCAGTAACCAGAAGACTTGCTGGACAGCACGCATGCATGTGCCGGAACCCGGAATTTCATTTTCTGGCGCATGCATGCTCCCTTGCCAGCTCCTCTTTCTGGTCGCGGCCTAGATGAGCGCACACGAAGTGCTCCCTTTTCGGCAGTTGGTTCTGAAAAGCTTCGCCATCAAGGGTATAGAGTCATAAGTGCAAAATTTCTAATTAGTCTAATATAAAGCAGTTTCTGCTCGCCTGCTGATATAGGCACACATACACAAATAAGAAATTATTTGAATAAGAATTGTGATAATTAAGAATTTCCTTAATGTAAAACAGTAAAAATATTTGAATTGGGATATTATGCCTCGTAGACTAAAAATAGATACAAATTCCATGGACAGAAGGCGCCTGTCTACAACTGTCTGTTAATGGTTTCTACACAAACACTTCCAACAGAGTAAACACATTCTTCCACAAACACTGCATTTGCTATAAAATGCATTATTTCCCCTTTGTTCATTTTTACCTCCAGTAAGATCGATGGGATAAAAAAAAACCAGGTACATGATACAAGTAGGGACATTTTGTTTCAAGAAACTTTCATTTGAGAGGTAAGTGGGTAGGGCTCTGGCAATGGATTGAAGGCATCAACAATGGATACGTTGCCTCTTGAAAGATTGAGGGGACTTAACGGTCAAATAAAGAAACCTTTTTATTACGGTTCCTCAGTCAAGAGTGGATATTGCATTTATATCAGCCCACCGAGTTCTTTCCAAGCACCTGGGATAGGAAGATGCTCTTTTTCGATGATGTTGAAGGTAACACCCCATTTTATTTGTCATAGGTAAACACCTTCCAGTAGTCGCTGGCCCACCAGGAGTAGCCCATTTGTCACCAAATGTCCAGGAATTCCCAACATCTAGTGTTGTCTTTGCTGACCCAACCAATGACCGGTCCAGCAATAGTTTCTATAATTTACGTCTCACCATATTTTTTAAAAAATGAATCAACTGATTCCTCTGATGAAACCTGTCTGGCATAGCTCTCTGCCTTAGAGCATACAAGCCCCACAAACATATTAATTGGGCCTAACAGGGGAATTATTGTAATTTCTATCCTTTGAAGAAGGGATGCGGTGGCTCAGTGGCTAAGATGCTGAGCTTGTCGATCAGAAAGGTTCGAATCCCTA